CTTTACCCCTTCCCATGGCAAGAGCATTAGAAATCACTTCATACACGTGAAAAACAAAGAAAACGACAATTCAAAACCTTTCGTTTGGCATGCTTAATGGTTTCAGCATTTCTAATTCCTTTTAATAAGTGTTACAAAGTGAAAGCAAGATGGGTAGGTACTCAAAATATATTGGAACATCTTAAAATTACCAGCCCTGCCCGTGGAAATAAATGGATGGCAATTGAAAGCAATAAAGGTTATTGAAAGTTAAGGTCTCACAGGCTAAGAGGTCACGTTAGACTGTCAATCATTTTCCCCACGGTGGGTAACCAGTTAGAAATTAAAAAAAAAAAAAATCTAGTAGTTTAGTTGTGGTGGAAGAAGGAGTCAGTGGGGATGGGAGGTTTCAGCAACATGCTGGAAGAAAAAAAGAGACTTACATAGTCTGGGAGGGCAGTGAAATGGAAGGCGTGGTACCCTCGCTCACTGAGTTGTCATTTTTGATTTTTCAATGACATTTTTTTCCATCTTTCGCCTAGTAAAGATGACAGAAGGTCCTAATTTATTATCTGACGTCTATTCCTGTTCCTAGATTTAAGAGAGTTTAGCTGTATACAGTCATACAATCCAAATACAAATAATTCCATATAAAGCTAGAGCACTGACGTCCATGCATTCCATCATCATCATAAATGCACACTCGAACCAAAGGTCAGGAGTCAGAACCAGGCTGCTCCACCTAGGAACATGGGGGAGAGAGGGACGGTGGGTTGGGTAGTTTACTTATATAAAAGCAGTAGAAGGGAATAGCTCTCCCCCAAGAGCTAACTCACTTCCTCCTGAACTGAAATGAGTGACAGACTATCAAGAATGCCCAAATGAAAGTCTTTGGCATTGCTCTCTGGAGCCACCATCCTGTGTGCCTGAACAGAGCTGCTGGATGTACACATAAGACACTAAACGGGTATTCTCTGTCTTAGATGCCTTCTGTTGCTGAGATTGGGTTTAATTTTAGAAGACGAGAGAAGGATCATTGATGCTTTTCTCTAAAATGACTGTTGGGGATTAGATCTCAGGAAAATAATAATAGGTGTTACAAAAATTTCTGTCTCTGTATGTGAATGATGCCAGAGCAGATCTGACTAGGCAACACCATGGAGCCCCTGATGTGTTGGCCCACTTCCTGGGTTCACTTCAACATGAGTTGGGTTGGCACACTGAAGTTGCTAGGAAATATTAAAAAGTGAAGAGACAGTATCAATTAAATTCTGGGAAGAAAACCACCCAGATGAAAAAAGCCCTTCCTACTTCTATAGCTATTTGGTACATTTTAAGGAGCGTGGAGGGAGAATTAAAAAGAAGAGAAAGCAAAACAAAGCAAAACAAAACAGAAGAACCTTGTCATAAAAGAAATGGGAAAGGATCAAGGGAGAAAAAGCGAGAATCCTGACAAAATCCTAAAGAGCTTAATGGTAGAGTCATCTCCTGGCATTACACATGTTGGTCAGTAGCAAAATACTAGAATTTCGATTTCATTTCTCCACTGGCAAGATACCAAACCCATTCATCTGATCTAAGACAATTTCCTATTCACACTTACAATTTCAAGTAGATTCTTTCGTTGATGTATAATATTTGTCCCATTTATTTTTCAAAAAACTATCTCAGGAGGAGTTATAAAATCAAAAGGTGTAGTTTGAAATTTAATGAGCATTATTTGCAAGTGAACAAGGCAAATCGACATTTAATCAGTTTTCATAATGTGTATTCATTGGATGATATTTATCCTGAAAAACTTTTATACTATAAAAAACATTTATCAGGGATTATTATTAATATTCAAGAATCAGCAGGACAGAATAATCTTAGTTCTATTAAGAGTTTTAAAAATTAAGGTGCCATCAGCATAAACATGTTGATAGTGGCTTGCATCTTTGGGGTTTCCCTTACTGAGAGCTAATCTCACTACTGGGTCCTTTACAAAGTGCAACTGTGAGAACACAGGACTAGAGAAAGTTCTGGGTTCCTGGTTTATCTCCCGAAACTCCAGGGTAATCCCACTCTCCTCTCTGAGAAACACAGAGATGAATCAGCAGACAGCCCCTTTCTTTGGTGTTTCAAGGCCACCTCCTGGCCTGCAGGAGAACCTGTCAGCTGCTTCAGGACCAGGGAATGCCTTCCACCTTCTAGGTCCACCACACAAAATGGGTGGTCTGGATCCAGCCTTTAGGAGGACCCCCAGCTGTCTAGTTCATCCATTGTCTAACCTCACTGTTTGCCTGGGAGGTATGACATACCAGTCTGTCTGAAGACATACAGGGAGGTTTTGTAAAGTAGATTTGGCAGGGGCTGCTATTTAGGGTGTAGGTCTTCTTTGTCAGTGATAATATCTATTGATTTACAAAACCCAAACTGAATTGGTAGCTACTCTAAGTGGCTTCTGTTTTACCAGATGAGAAAGAAATTCTGTTGGATACTAACATCTCCATCACTGAGATCAGTCCCCCGCCCCCCCCCCTTTCTTTACATACTCTAAATCAAATGCTCATCATTAGGTCACAAAAGCAAGCTCAGAGAAGCACAGGGGTTTCTGAATTCATTTCATGCATACATTTCACTCAGTGTTAAATCTGGGTAGGGTGGGACTGGGGGAGAGCACCTGTGGGCACAGGCTTCTGGTGGTAGGCTCCTTTCCTATTCTCCTGTCTAGGGAGAAATGCATGGCATAATTGCTGCTCAGCAAGGCCTGCAAAAGTCAGCTGACTTAATTGAAAGGACGAGGTCTTACTGAACTCTCCTTGCAGGAACCTCTTCCAAACATTAGGTCTTTTTGTTCCTGCAGTTCTCATTTCATAAAAAGTCAGCCTGCTTTTTTCCTCCGGTCCTGGTGACCTGTATTCTCTGCTTCCCCAAAGTGCGTTGTTTCTTTCGCTAGCCTCTGCTGTAACCGCTTTTATTTGTGAGACACTTGGGAGGGGATGGAAATGTTTAGAGTACAGAAGAAAATAACTCTTTAAAAAATTCATCTCATTATGATCATGTTTAGATGAAATATGGGGCTTGCCATCAACAAAATTACAAAACAATTCCACTGGGAGCCCAGACCAGTCAGAGTAATTCATCTATGAAAAAGCGAACTTTAATTGTTACTCTTGGCAGCCATCTAAGAGTAGAGTGAAATATTATACTAAATATTGCCACGTGCAATAGTAAAATACTATTTCCTCCTTGCCAGAAGCAGCGTACAGCCCCCTTCAGATTCAGGTTTGGGTCTGGTGATTTAGTCGAAATCCTCTGTTTCCCCCTCTCCAAAACCAACAGGGGTTTTCAAAAGAGCTATGTGTTTTATTAGAACCATTTGCTCCTTTTAAGTTGCCAAAAAGGAATAAGTAAAACTAAGACGTTTATTTGGGTTAAAGTTGATTCCTCAGCTTCATGGAGGTCAACGTACTTAGTTTGTGAACCTTCTGCTAAGAAGTTCACTCCAGCCTTGAACCAGCCAAGGTTCTGCGTCAGTCCCTTGCTCCAATCCTCGTGGATTTATACAGCAGTAGTTGGGCGCACGTGGAAGCTTAACCAAGATGGAAGATATATTCTGGGTTTTCTAGAACAATAAATTTCAAATGATTTTGATGGTACCCTGATGATGTTATAAGGTGGGGATCAGGTGACTTGAGTGGGGCTACAGAGAATGGGATCCCACCAGGTACTGACAACTCTTTAAGATTAAAAAAAATCATTGAATATTGCTGCATTATGCCCTTTATAAGGGAAGAGGTGTTTGCTAATACTCAAAAACAGAGGGATAGTCTTTTTTTTAAAAAATGGAACAAAGCTTTTGGTGAAAACTTTAAAGTACTATTTATGTGCATTGGTTACCTGTCATTGATAGGTTCTAGCTAAGCACGAATCTATTATAAGCTATTTATAAATAATTTTTAAATACGTATTCCAGCATACTATTTGCATATATTAGGCATAATTCCCTATGGATATATTAAGACCATATTTAAGATATCACATGTAGATAATATTATTAAGTTTCCAAAATGCATAAATTTGGGCAGTTAGGACCTTTAGAAATTAAATGTCTTGCTCAGGATTATTCAGATTATTACCTACAGTTCGAAGAACAGAATTTTATTTAAGTAGATATTTCCTATGGTATGGCTCATTGTTCTTATGCACAGAGGACTATGTTATAATATTAAAATTATTGGGAGTAAGTTTAAAATCATGTGTGATAAAAAAGTAGTCTAGTTAAAACTTAGTTGATTAAAGTTTAAGTCATCTTCAACTTGAGTAACTATACTAAACCTTAGAACATCTGTGTGATTTTTCTTTTATTACAACATGTATTATCATTGACAAAGAATAAAATGAATGCTATTAATAAGACCACTGGAAGGAAATATAATATAAAAAATGCATTAGCCATGGGGAAAATATTCAATGCTTGTTATACCTGTGCATAGATGCATAAGGACTGAACGATACAAAGCTTCATGAGAACTTTTGGTCTATATAAAATAACATCTCTTAGAAGTATGCCTGTTGTTCTGTTTGTGGAAGTTACAAAAAAATAAAAACAAAATTTACAGAATGCATGGACTAACAGTGTTACACTACAGTGAACAACATCTACCCATTATTACTTAAGAGGAAGTAATCACTACAGAAGGCAAAGAATTTTAAAATACATTGTTAAAATACAACTCAGATAATCAATGACAGCACAAGTAAACTAATTAGGAGTCCCATAGGCTGACTATACTTGGGAGTTGGTTGATCTAAAAAACTGACCTATGATATGGGAAGACAAAGAAGTCTGCCTTATTATATGTGTAGTTTTAATTTTAAAAAATATCAAGCTGCCTTTTATTTACTAAAAGATCAAGCTCTGTGTGAGCACAAAATTTAAAATTTCTTTTGAGGAGCTGTATTTTCCTGCTCTCCATTTAAAATGGGGGAAAAATAAAAATATTTTGCCTGTGACAGAATATGAAAGAAGTTCTCACCCTTAAAACCAGCAGCATTGGTTTTCCAGTCATTAGCGTTCAAATGTCCCGCACGGGAAGTCCTGACAATAACATGCTGTACGTCTCTCCAGGTCAGAAACGGACTGGGGAAAGACAAGGTAAGAATCATTGTACCAAAAAAAAAAAAAAGATGGGGGAAGCAGAGAGTCACAAGCAAATTAAAAAAGCAAAATCAAAATGGCAAAGTACTAAAAACAAAAGGGCAAAGATTTGGGTTTGGGATAACCAAAGGCCAAATGCTGTCTTTGTTCTCAGGATGGAGAAGTGACATTTGTCTGGGGGAGGCAGAAAATGTAACCTTAAATGGAAGAAATAACAGGACCGAAGTCAGTGTAACTCAGTGTTTAAAAGGGTGAGGGTTTCCAGTTTCCTCAACAAAATGGCTGCCTTGGTGTAAAAGTCTGCATCATTACCAGAAATTGAGAGTAAGCTAAAGTCAAAATGGAAGGTCTCTGGAATATTCCTTGTTCAATCATAAATAGCCAGTTGTCTTGCAATTTTACTCAAGAACTTAGCAATATTCAGCCTTCTTTGTATATACACACGGGATATGGAAAACCTCAACTGAAACCCAGTTCCCATTTTCACTGTTGTTCAAGGAAGAGACTACGGTACAGAATCTGCAGTTGGGCTCCTCAGCACAGACAACTATGAGGGTGCACTTAATTTATAATATGTAGCTGTTACGCTAAGTCCTGGATACCTAGTTCTTATGGCTGTTAGCATTGGAGAGCACAAGACAACAAGTGAACAGGAGACATGCTCGCTGGAAAATCCAAAGCCTGTCATAAACAAACAGAAAATAAATCCAGTACATACACAAAGAATTTTTGTTCTCTTTCAAGGAATATCTATTTTCTAGAAGGCATTTGATTCAATGCATTCATGCAATTCTCCTCAGGATGCTTATTCAATTCAGTCTTGAACTCTGAGATGTGATAATCTCTGACCTCACTAAGAATTACGGTCATTATCATGCAGCCTGCATGGTCATTTTTTTTTTTTCTCAAATACCACCTTCCTTTGCAAGAATGAGCCACAGAAAATTTGGAAAAGAGGAAGAAACTACTCTCTGTCTGCCTCATGTGCTCATGAATGGATACTGGGATCTCCCAGACTGCAAGAAAACTTATGTTAATTGCAGCCAATTTTCACGGTGAAGACTACACAGTACTTCACTTTATACTGCTTTTTTTTTTTAATCCCCCATCACACCTATGACATTATGTGATTTGGAAGGGGCCAGATGACCAGATTCTGGCTGCTTCATTTTCTATGTGAAATTAACCTCTCATAGTCTTAATTTCCTCACTTCGAATATGGATACTAAATCTACTTTACTATATTGTACTGATTGAATCAGTTAAAGCAATGTCAATTACTGAATGTGGTGCCTGTACATGATGAGCTATTAAAAAGCATCAGCACACATTTTGATAAACAAATAGCTAAGACTCTTATTTGGTGGCTTGAATATGAAGAAAACAAAAAAAAAAAAGAGAAAAGAGCTATTGATATGATGCCTTTTTGTTATGCTCTCAGATTTAAGATAAATGGAGAGTACTGCCATTTTCAAGGTTTTCAGAGGGGATAAGATTGGCTCTAGATTATTTTAAAAGGTTGCATTAGCAAAAGAACTTATATTCAGGAAATTAAAACCTAACTTACGAAATTTTAATAATATAAGAACAAAGAAAACAGAATCATTTTTGTTTTGCATGGATACGACCTTCGTTAGGAACCAATATTAGAAGCTGGGAAGGCATGAAATGCTCAAGGAAGGGAGGGAGGTCCATGGTGAACCCCAGAAGAAAGGGAAGTTTTGCTTCTAAAATAAATAGCATGATTGGGTCCTGGGCTCACTAACTCTGAATTCACATAATTCAGCAAACTCCGTATATTGCTGTAAGGGAAATGAGAAAATGAGTACAGGGATAATTCTGAATGCTGACCTCAGCAGAAGATGCTCGGACTGCGCCTGAGATGTGACATTCACACCCTCCCAAAGGAGCATACGCTGCTTTCCCCCATGAATGAACAGCAGGACAACAAAAGGTACACTTGGCTTTGACAACTATATCAATGATATCACCCTAGTGATCTAAAATTAATGTTAACACACAGTCAAAACACCCATATTTTTAATCTTACCCTAGAATAAAAAAAAAAAAAAGTCTGTTTTCCATATTACTTATCACCAGGGCAAAATTCCTTCAAAAATATCTAGCACAAGGCTCTGATCATAGGGAGATATATATTGCCCCTCGTGAACCTCAGTGCTAACATATAAAAAATAATAGAACAGGGAAGACTTATCTTGTACCTTAGGCAGCTGTATTCTGGCAGATTCAGGAAGTCTCCTGTATTCAACTCAGCCTGAAGAAATAAGAGTTACGTGTTCTCATGCTGAGTTGCAAAAACTAGTTCTTCTTGGAGTGCTTGTAATTAGAAGGAAGAAATTGGCGTCAGGAAATTGGAACTACACGTGGAAAGAAGGAGGGGGTTGGATGACTTTCCTCTGACATTGCATAACGCACACAACTTTGGAAATAATCTAATTTGAAAAATTTCTGAATTTTCCCCAAATAAATAAAGAAGATAATGTGGGAAACCAATAAGTTTGTTTCCACCTGTAGGAAGATAACTAATTAGCTCAGGTTAATTGTGGTGCACATGTTTTAGATATTCAGTATCCCAAGAGGACTCTTGCTTAAGGGGAAGTCTACTCTGCATCTTACTTTGTTGATTCTTTTTTTTTTTTTTTTTCAGTACTGGGGTTCCAACCAGGGTCCTGTACTGCATCTTACTTGCTCCCAAGAATGATGCAGAGACTAAAGATTGAGTCAGACTATCAAAGAGTGGTAATGGATCGTTTTGGTAACAATACATAGAGCAAAAGCTTAGAGGAAAGGTGGAGTACCCTTTGCTGGGAGCAGCACATTCACAACAGTAATGCAGGACTCTCTGCAGCTCCCCCCACCTCTGCCCCAGGTACCTGGGCTCACACTCCACTGGACTAGGAAAACCAAGGCCCCTTTTCTTTTCAAGATCAGATGGGCTGAGCACCAAGTAACAGTTGAGAGGTCAAAGTAACAGTTGAGGCAAGTAACAGTTGAGAGGTCAAAAATCTAATAGACCAGAGGAAAAGTGTAGTATCTTTCAACCGGAGCCTTCTGGCCACCACCCTGCAATGAGCCATGTGGTGTTCTGCTACAGACCCCTTATGTTTCTTCCTGGATATGTTGACAACTCCCTTCAGTCATGATAATCACCAAAAAAGTAACATTTCTAAATGCTTGAAAGAGCTGTGTATCTGCTTGTGGCCTTTCAAAGCAATGAAATGAAAATGACTTTGTAGGGAACGGTTATACATGTAATCTTTCTGGTTAAGAAGTTTCTCCTCTTTTACTGACCTTGTAATAATAATCCACACTTAGCAGGCACGTGCCAGAGCCAAGCACTATATGTTTTACATGCAGTACTGTTGTATAAAATCTTAAAAAATGATATGATGGAAATACTCTTGTTCTCATTTCACAGTGACAAAACTGAGGCTTTGAATTACATGCAGTCACTCAAATATACAGAGGTAATAAGGGGTAGAGCCAGAGTTCAAACCCGCTAGATCTGGCTGCTGAACTTCTGCTATCAATCACTGGGTAATGCTGTTTGCAGAATGGATCTATAAAGGTGATACAGGGTCACACACAGTACTTCTCAGGTCTTTCTTGAAAAATGGATAAAGAAGCCGAGCATGAGATGTCATTTTCTCAGTGTCACACAATCTTTGCATACACACCCTACTTCTCAGCTCAGTTGATTTTTTTTTTTTTTTTAAATATCAGGGATTGAATCCTGGGCACTTAGCCACTGAGCCTCATCCCCAGCCCATATTTTTATATTTTATTTAGAGACAAGGCCTCACTGAGTTGCTTAGGGCCTTGCTAAATTGCTGAGACTGGCATTGAACTCGCAATCCTCCTGCCTTAGCCTCCTGAGCTGCTGGGATTATAGGTATGTGCCACTGCACAGTGCCCGGCTGGTTGGTTGGTGTTTATCTACCATGGTATTCAGGAGATTATTTAATATAGATTACAAATTTTAAAGGCCTAGCTTTTGCACACTCTATCAAAGAGAAACAAAAATACTACTCCAGGAAAATCACATTATTTTTATAACGTATTTGACATGTACATTGTTATGATTAGATATGAGGTACTCCTAAAAGCTCATGTGGAAGACAATGCAAGAAAGTTTACAGGTGAAATGACTGTCATGAGAGCCTTACCTAATCAGTACATTAATCCACTTGAAAGGATTAGTTGGGTGGTAACTATAGGCAGGTAGGGTGTGGCTGGGGGAGGTGGGTGACTGTAGGCACGACTTTAGAGTGTGTGTGTGTGTGTGTGTGTGTGTGTGTGTGTATATTTTTTTTTTTTGGGGGGGGGGTGGGGGAGTGGGGGGAGTACCAGGGATTGAACTCAGTGGTACTTCACCACTGAGCCGCATCCCCAGTCCTATTTTGTATTTTATTTAAAGACAAGGTCTCACTGAGTTGCTTAGCACCTCACTGAGGCTAAGGCTGGCTTTGAACTTGCAAACCTCCTGTCTCAGCCTCCCGAGCTGCTGAGATTACAGGTGTGCTCCACTGCGCCCAGCTAGAGTATACATTTTGTTAAGTGGAGTGCTCTCTCTGCTTCCTGACGCCACATCCCAAGCTTCTTTCCTCTACCGTGCTCTTCCACCATGATGTTCTGCCTCACTTTGGGGCCCAAAGAATGGAGACAGTCATCTATGGACTGAGAGCTCTGAAACTGTGAGCCCCCAATGAACTTTTACTCCTCTAATTGTTCTTGTTAGGTCTTTTCGTCCTAGCAACAAAAAAGCTGATGAAAACATACACTACATGTCATACTCTGATTATACCATGTTATACCATTATTCTTATGAATTTGTCACCTGGCTGGTCATGGTCACGTTCTGATGTAGCTCACAGCTTGGCTAGGTAGTTCTTCTCTTCAATTAATCTCTGTTAATGATAACTTGTCATCAATATTGGCAAAAGCAGGAGAATCAATGACAC